GTGTGGTGCACAGCCTGGGCAGTTCCCACTACTGGGAGGCTGAAGCCAGGAGCAATCCCTTGAACCTGCGGGAGGCAGAGGTTGCAGTGAGCCGATCACGTTCTTGCACTCCAGTCTGGGTGACAGAGTGGTGACGTCCGTCTTCAAAAAAAAAAAAAAAGTTAAACAGAATTACACATACCACTAACTGCTAAACTGTATGCTTAAGAACACTTACAAGGAAACAAATATAATTACCTTTCCAAGAAAAAAAAAATGGTTTAATAAGGTAATTTGCGTAATGTGGTATTTACACACACTATAAAAAAACATCAAATCACGCACATGACCTATTACCTTGAATGCTTGTAACAAACGACCCAAATGTGCAGACTGCACCCCACATGGAATAGAGTATACAACACACATTTCTATCATAAATTAGAGCCTACTGTTCTAGGCATCCTTAGGAATTTTTTCCCTTTTTTTTGAGAACAGTTTTGTTCTTGTCCAGCCCAGGCCTGGGAGTTGCAGTGGTACAATCCACAGGCTTCACTACAAGCCTCCCTCCTCCCAAGCGTTCAAGCAATTTCTACTGCCTCAGCCTCCTGTATGTAGTCTAGGATTAGAGTGCCTGCACCACACCTGGCTATAATTTTTTTGTATAATTTTAGGGAAGAGAGGGTTTTGCCCCATTTGGCTGGGGCAGGGGCTGTTCCTTGAACTTCCTGACCTCAGGTGACTGCTAGGCGATCGACCTCCCCCAAAAAGTGCTGGGATTACAGGTGTGAGCCACTGTGCCCGGCTAGGAAATTTTTTTAAAAACCAACTGATTTAAGAGCAAATGGACACAAATGGCATTACTAAATATATTACCTCGTGAGCGTTGTTACAATTTTTATCTTATTTTATTTATTATGAGACTATAGGCGTATACCACCACACCTGTCTGATTTTTGTTTTGTAGTGGTGTGAGGTCTTGCTATGTTGCCAGGACTGGTCTCAAACTCTTGGGATCAAGCCATCTTCCCACCTCGGCCTTCCAAAGCACTGGGATTATAGGCGTCAACCACTGTGCCTGACCTGTGTTTAACTTTTTAAGGAACTGCCAAACTGATTTTCACAATGGTTGTATATACCATTTTACTTTCCCACCAGCAATATACTATGGTTCTAATTTCTGTACACCCTTACCAACACTTATTTTTTGTTGTTTTCTTTTTTTGTGGTAGCCATTCTAATGAGTGTGAAATGGAATATCAT